TCTTAATTGAAGATAACTCGACCCTTAGTAGAACATATGGTTTATAATTCATTTTCCTTACGATACTCGGGAGTTTGTATGGATGGGCTTCTTTAGAGTGGAGGTTCGGTTCCTCCCGGATGGTTCTTCTCGCTTTTTTTTTTTCATCAAAAGTTCCCGTATGGCTAGCCTCTTCTGAGGCGAAGGTTCAATTCCTTCCGGGTTCAATTTATTTACTGGCATGTCAATCAGTATGTTTGGGGATTATAAATTTTTCGGTTTTTTTTCCACAACTACCGAAAGCTCACGGAATTTTGTATTTTCAAAACCGTCATGGTTATCGCGCGATAAAGAAGGTTGAATTTTATATCGCGACTTGTGGATCTCAAGTTGAATAATTCAGTCTGATCGTGGAGGTGCGTTAGTTCTGAGAGGTATTCACAAATTATAATATCTTAAAAAATTATTTGGCTTGAGACAAGCTTAAAATAATATAGACAAGATTCAATAAACAAAAATGATGGCGAGAAAAATATATTATGTAAAAAGTTCGTCCCCATACGCCACCTCCGAAAGAAAATGATAACGAGGATGATAATAGCGAAGATGATGTACGTAAACCAGTGTTTACGAGGACGATGGAAATGAAGATAAGATGGAAATTCGTTCAATGCTGCTTCATCTGTAGGTTAAGCTTTTCTGACAATGATGAAGACAACAAAAAGCGATGGCGATTCTAATTTAAATGATCTTTATAACTATACGTCATTGACACCTTACAAAATAATAGATAACAAGGAAATTTGGAACTTAGTAATAGCATTTTTGATCTTTATTTAACAATATCGGTAATGTCAATAATACAAATGCAACTCGATTCCTTCAATATGTTTTTACAAGGCAATCCTCCATTTAATTCTTGATCTTAGAAGATTCCAGCAACAGCGACATGGACATAAAAATCATCATCGTGGAAAAATTCAAATGTTATTACTTCTCATGCCGTTAAAAGTATTATCACACAACACAACACGCACCTTTAAGATTTTATAATTGGAATATTAAAAATACGTTGATAAATTAATCTTCGCTCACGCATCCCGTGACAAATTCATATTTATCAGCACTTAATTTTGATCTACATAGATGATCACTGTAAATGTCAGTGGTTAGTTTCATTTTGTATCACTCGAAATGAATAACATGATCAAAGGGATTTTAATTAGCAAAAACCATGACAGATCCAAACTTGGAAAAGATATCTAAAGAGTTAGCCGAACACTTTAATATAACAATTAATAGATCTGAAAGTGTAACGTCCATTCTTTTCAAGTCAACGTTCCTTTTGATTTTACTATGATGATATATGAAATTAATAATAATGTTTTTTAGTTTAGGGAAATCAAAAATAACCTCGAAAATGCTGATAATCAAATGGAAGAGATTAGAGAATCATTACATTTTGTAAGTGTTAAAAGATCTAATTATTTTTGATTCGGGATTCAGGGAAAATGCATTCGATGATGTCTGATTATATAACATGCGGCGAGTTTTAGGTACGCCAAGACGTAGACAAACGTTCAGAGGTCGCTTCGAAAGAATTATTTGATGCAGCTAACCAATTAGAACATTTATTCTCAAAGATTGATTCGTTGGAGGTTTAATTCTTTCACTCTCTTCCCAAAAGAAACTTTTGTTCTTAATACGAATCTAAAATTAATCAATGATTTAATTATATTTAGACATTTGTGAATATTGTGAAGAAATCGGTCAATGATGTAACCGATCGTGTGGACGAGACCGAAAGTTTACTAACGAATCCGATCAACCGTGTATGGGACACTATAAAAATGGTAATATTGGGTTAAAATCGATGTCTCTTTAGTGCCCTTAACTAATTTTGTGGGATAATCTTAGAATACCACAAAATCAATCGACACTGTTGACCTGAATCTTCCTCGAATGAAACCGTTGCAAATATATAATACGAAAGATTATTTTCCGACTAACATCGATGAGGTAGTAGAACGAGAAGGTACAGCACAACAGTAAACAATTTATAACACTGCATTTAGTCACCCCTTTGATATAATGTTGATGAACAATCTGCGACCGGGTATTTCATGTTCAAATCCTTGCCATTCAATTTTTTTTCACGATTGTTTGGTGTAAGGTACCCGGGTGCTGGTGTCAGTGCTCCAGGTGTTTGTAAATCTTTAACAATGCAATGGAAATCCACCATAGATTTAGCGAATGGATTTCCTTTTCTGGCTAATAAAATACACGGTTTTTTTTTAGTCTCCCGATATTAAAAATACGGTACTGTTGCATTAGTTTTAAGTGCTAAGCCGGTATAACGAGTTGCTTTTTATTACTTGTATGCCTTTTATTTCGATAGAGTTAGGTATACTTTAACCTTCGCAACCTATAGAATAGCATTAAATAATTGCATATTAAGTTTTTCGCGTGCAGCAAATCTGACAGGGTACAAAGACGGAAAAGGATGTCGACGTCAGCCGAATCTGATAAAACACTCGACATAAGCATAAAAACAACCGAAAGCAATACTGATGCTCATACCGCCGAATCCGACAAAACACTCGATATAAGCATAAACAATCCAAGCAACACAGTTGAGAAGAATAGCAACAACGATACAAGCACTGAGACCGATAATAGTGACAAAGACAATCTTGATCGTATTATTTCAGAAAGAAATTCAAAACTGACTACACGGAATCACGGCGAATTAGAACACTATGACGCGGAACATCAGCAGAGTAAATTCAGGATTTTGTTCAGTCTGTTGAAGAAGTTTATTGGAGTCAAAGATATAGTATCATTGTACGTGCAGTTTTGATATATATGCTTTATATATCATTTTTGATACCATTCATGTTGTGATAACATTTTTTTTTTGGTGTCGAGTTTATAGGCGCATTTCACTTCCCGCACAACTTATTGAACCTATTGGTAATTTGGAGTACTGGAATTATAATGATCGACCGGATTATTTTTTATGGTAAACAAGGATTTTCATTCGAGAAAATCGAAAAAAAATCGAAAAATTAATGAATCGTTTGATTTTTTTTTTTAAAAGTATTGGCGATTCTGATGATCCTTTGGAAAGAATGCTTGCCGCCATACGTTGGTGGTATTCAAAAGATTTAAAATTTGTGGTCAGTGAACGTCACAATTTTTTTTTATTTGAAACAAAAAGTTTTTCACGAAATCATGAGAATAACGAATGATATCAAAAACAACAGAAAGGAAAACTAATAAAACCATATAATTCCATTCTTGGAGAACAATTCTTGTGTCATTGGGAGATCTCCCCACCAAAATTCAATAAGAATGGAGAGATCGATCCAAACGCGCAAGCGACCGGCTCAAGTCACGAGAAAAAATATCGCGTAACATGTTTGAATGAGCAAATTTCGCACCATCCACCAGTATCCGCGTTTCATTATCATTGCCCTGAAAAGGGTGTTACTGCAAGAGGAATTGATCATATCTCGGCAAAGTTTACGGGAACCTGCAAGTGATCTCATGCTTTTTTTTGTATTCCAGCTTATCCTTTATAATAATTGCGATAATGATTAACAATGATTGAATTGACAAAACATAGCCGTTAAATTTTCTCCTGGTGATCAAAATAAGGGAATCTACCTCACGTTGGAGAAGCGCGATAACGAAGAATATTTAATGACACATCCAAACGCTTTGATACAAGGATGGTTAAAAGGTTCTTTGTACGTTGTTGTGTGTGAAGCTTCCATTATTACGTGTCCGAAAACTAAATTGAAAGCCATATTAGAGTATAAAGAGGAGGTAAGCTTTTTTCTTGCTCTTACCAAATGTATTAATGATATCGATATGTTCATAATTTATTAATTAATTGACATTAAATTATGAATTTTTTATAGCGATGGTTAGGAAAGGCAAGATTTCTTATCGAAGGTAAAATATTTAGATACGATCCAGAGAATGATGATATAATAAAATTAAAAAATGTCGATGAGGAAGATGTGGTTGCCGAATTGACTGGTAGCTGGCGTGGACAAATATATGCCACCCGTTTTGATACAAACGTAAATTCTTTATCCTATTAATTCATCATCCACGAAATATATTACGTAGTCTCTAATTTTATCCTTTTTTTCCGAATAATCAGGAGCAAAGGTTACTATTAGACATGGACCCAATAGATCCAATTCCAAAAAAAGTGAAACCATTATCAAAACAAGGAACACTAGAATCACGTAAGGTATGGCAACCAGTCACCACCGCCCTCCTCAAAAAAGATTACTCGCTTGCCACCAAGGAAAAACAGAATATCGAAGAACGACAACGGCAAATTGCTGCCGAATTGAAAGCGAAAAATGAAGAACATGTGCCCGTGTATTTCCATGTACCGGTTGTTGAAGGAAAACCCGAATTGAAAGAGGCTGCGTTGGAACTTTTGAAGTCAGAGCTTACTAGAAATTCTTGATTTCTTTTTTTTTATTATAACAATTTTTGTATTATATGATTTTCTTTCCTATCATACTAAAATTTCTATTATCAGCTTTATATAGAATCTAAGGGCGGTCTATTTAAAGGGATATAATGGCAATTTTATCGGAGTTATAACATTCAATTGATTAAATAACGAATTTGTTTAATCCTTTCAAAACTATACTATCTAGATATAATATATAATTTAAATTTAATCCTACTTACCTATTAAAAAATGCTCAATATAAAAAATGCACTAAATTCGTGAATTAAATATATTTATTAGAGAGAAATGAATCAGAAAGTTTCCATTTTGAATTTTGTGAATTTGAATTGTATAGATCTCATGGCAGATCTATTCCTAGATAACAAGCATAAAAAAATAAATACTGTTTTGTGTCCGAAAAAGTCAAATCCAGAATACTTACTAAATAGTATATACATTAAATTTCTACTGTGATTTCTTCACTTCCTTCTTCCCACTCTTTATCATGACCAACGCCACGAACGTAAACACCACCGTCAGACCAAACAGCAATAGTACAACGGGTATACGAATTGCATATATGCGGTCAGGAAAGAACTCGTGTAGTGGATGGCCTTCATCCACAAATGGCTGTTATCGTCATCAAATTATTATTAAGATTAGCTTCATTGACAATAAATAATTTATAAAAAATTATTTTGGGGATACTGAACCATTATTAGTGCCCATATCGTGTAATAGACGAATAATGTCACCGATATGATTAGTAGTGTCCCGCCTACGGCTCGATCTTTTCCAGCCGATCCCTTTTAAGTCGAGGAAATCAAAATTTAATGTTATTGATTGAGGCCAAACATATTTAAAAACCAAAAGCGAAACTTACCATTTTGTTATATATTCTAATTTGCAAATGAAAGTGGCAAAAGATGAGCTTCACTAAAAGTTCAGAAGTTGATTAAATGACTATCGGTGATCGGTGAAACAAACTTGTGAGACATGGCAGATCGATGATAAAAACGCTCGTAACAAAAAATTTGAACTCTTGATCCAACATGTTTCTTTTGCATAAAACCTCTTCAACTCTGCCAATTTCCCAACTAAATTTTTCGACCACCTTACGTCATATTGGGGTAAGAAACTATGTATCAGCCCTAAGGAAAGCTCCTCGAAAAATAGGGCTGGGGTCATTAAGCGACAATCCCAAAGCTACGCGACAGGTACTTTCGCACCAGAAACAATACAATATTATATGAACTATTTTATGCGGAATATGTCATTTTGGGTTTCGTGAGATGTAGTTTCATAGAGCATCAATCACAAAAATTAGAAGAATCTTCTTGTATAAAATATATGCTTTGTTCGAAAAAGCGTCGCCGTGTAGGTCGAGGTCCTGCGTCTGGTAAAGGCAAAACATGTGGCGCTGGTATTAAGGGTCAAAAAGCTCGTAGTGGTAACACGAAACCTAGACGAGATTTCGAAGGTGGGCAAACTCCCATTACTAGGCTCTTCCCAAAACAGAATGCAGATGTGTAAGTAGTGAAGAAAAGTCCCTCGTTTTCTTATCCTATCATGCAAAGGATTCATTCTAATAAGCTTATAGCGTTAAAAAGGAATTAACAACACTCGAACTTGATCGTCTTCAGCATTGGATCGATCGAGGTCTAATTGACCCGAATCATGTCATTACCACGAAACAACTTGCTGACACAAGATGTGTTCGTGGGGTTAGGAAGGATGGAATTTTGCTTTTAGGAAGAGTATGAATTTTTAATTATTTTTAATTATATTGATCTTTCCTTATCTATTTATTTAAATACCTAATGAAAAGTAACCACAATGATAGGGAGCTCAATATTTTAAAACCCCCATCACGATAGAAATTTCACGCGCTGCACCATCTGCTATAAGAGCTATAGAACAAGTCGGCGGACATATTACGTGTCGTTACTACAACCGACTTGCACTTCGTGTGGTTCTTCATCCGGAAAAGTTTTGGAGGATACCAAAATTTGCATATCCTGTTAGACAAAAGGATATTGGTAAGATTATATCATTATTATTATTATTTTAACCTATTTACTGTTTTGTTGGCTTATGTCGCGCTTTTTATTATTCAGACTATTATACTGATCCAAGTAACAGAGGATATCTTGCTGATCCAAAAGAACTAGAACGATTGAGACAAAAAAATATAAATATTGGAATTGCAAGGTTCAATAAAACTAAACATCAAGAGAATAATAATACGCCAACGCGCAATCCTAAATATGAACTATTATAACGTGATATATTTTGGTTGAATTATAACAACAATAATAATAACTAAAACAGTAAAGCGAATAGTAGTAATATTGCTTTGTTAATTATATTTTCTTTTTGCGTTTCTTTGCGACACCTTCATTCTTCAACTCTTGTAACTGGCGACGTCGTGCTTCCTCGCTTTCTTGCGGATTACTATTATTTTCATTATTCTTTATATATATATATATATATATATGTAATATTTGAAAAATATTTATAATTAAATTGATTCAACTAAAATATATCCATATAAAAACCATTCTTGTTTAAAAACATACCGTTTCAGCCGTTTCTTGCTGTGTTGTAACAGAATCAATTTTCGCTTTAGGTGATGACAATCTTCTGGTCTCAGCTACCACTGTAGAACTTCCTGGTTTAGATAGATTGGTAGAAGTACTTGAAGAAGCGGTGGCCTCTACCCTTGGCGAAACATTCTGCTGAGGTTTAGTCACATGGACAGTTTTAGCCTTATCTTTTTTGGGCGTTCTAAATAATTCATCGTCAAGATCATCATTATTTTGTCCAGTAGCTGGTAACGGAGGAGGAGCTGATGATCGTCGATCTTCGAAATGAAGAGATTTCTTTCGCTTCAACTCTTCCTCCTCTTTATATTCTTCCATGATGCGTTCTGTCGCTTTTGAAAAGAGGTGCGAGGTACGTGAGTCGATTAAATTTTCTAGTGGGATTTGTCCAGTGGATATTTTGAAACTTTGTAACCGCTGTCAAATAATCATTTACGCCTGATTAATTTTCAATAGTCTTATTTGAAAATGTTCGAACATAGACATTTACCTTTTCTATTTCTTGAAAAGTATTTTCGTCATCAAAAGGCGTACGAGGTTTTTTCTCTATAATGAAAAGGCCAGAATCCTCTCATAAATCAATATCAAAAATTGGTGCTCCATTTTAAAGACAAAACGTACAAAAATACACACTCGAATGACTTTTTTCCAATTTTCCAGCAACATTCTGCTGCTCCCTCAACAAATCCAACTCCTTCAGTTCGTCATCCTGGCTTTTTATCACATCAACCAACGCTTTGATCTGTTCATAGTACGCGACCAACAACATCCGCTGCGGCAAAACGTAATGTTTATACAATATAGACGCGCCGTCTAAATCGTACTCTTCGTCCTCATCGCGTAATGTGTGTGCATTCGGGATCAATTTACATCGAAAATTCCAAAAGAGTTCACCCCATTTGAGAGTTCGCGTGGATTTGAGTTCGAGCTGATATGTTTAATTAAAGGCTCCTGTGTCACATCCTCTCGTTACTAAAAACGCGTAGGATTTTCGGTAACTGAATTAATCCTACCTCATCATTGGTTTTTCGTAATACATGCGTTAGATTGGGTAGGTTTTTCAAGAAACTAGGTAATGATTTCAATAAACTTTCTAAATCATCAGGGTCTAAGCCAGATTTGGTATCCTACAATAATTCATTGATTCTCCTTAGAAATCCAAATCAAGCATTCGTAAAAAAAATAAAAAAAATAACGTACCTTACACCGTTTTTTAATATCATCGCCGATTAATTCTTCAAGCCACACGTACTTGAGATTAGTTATCAAGACAAGATACCGATCGGTGCTAAAATATGACTTTACAAGGAATGTCGTGTTAAGGGCAGCTGTGCCTTCCCCATTGGTTGTTTTTGGGGTTGCTGTGGTTGTTGTAGAGGGTAACAAGCCACTACTACCATTGGTTGCTACTGTTGAGGTAGCGCTTAAGGCAACCCAATTAACTGCACTTAGTAATTCGTCATGCTCTTTCGTGAATAAAGCCATTTATTAAAGGAGCGAAAGATGATGGAAATTTTCAAGTCATCATTATGTAATTTAAAATCACATGAGCAATTCTGCGTAATATTTCTTAGTATTATAATTCTAACAAATAACAAATATTTTTTTTTTTAAGGTTTATAATTAAAAATAACCCCATACCCCATCAAACTAACTACATCGAAAATAACTTCAAGAATGGGGGGTTAAATCAAATTATTTGATCTGATAATAAATATCTAAATTACACAAGTCGCACTTGTTTTCAGTTACTGTTAGATTATCCACGGCTTATTATTATTAATCTTAAATAGTATAAAAAAAAACTTTTCAATTTACATGTGACGAAAAAAAAGCATGCACTGTCATGTCTTCATTCATTCAAATTTTCATCAAGATCTCTGTTTCACGCGACATTATATTAACGTCAAAGAATTGATGAGTTCGTGTTATGCCAGTACATTTGCCAATATAAGAGAACAATAGTAGTCGTTTTGTCTCTCGTCATTTTACTTACGCGCTCCTCTTTTTTTTTTTTCTTTCCTCAGCTGATCGAAAAACAGAGGTGATATAGTTTTGTTCCTGTTCTATTAATACTTTCCCGATATCAAATATTAAGTAAAATAAGAACCAGATATCACCTCTGTTTTTTTTAACAACTATATATCATATCGCGCGTGTCTCGTATCCGCGATATAATAATAAAATAAAGTATTAAAAAAAAAAAATGGCTCCGTCTGCCGAAGAAACTACTATTACTGGTGGTGGCATAGTTCAAAGTATTCAGGATGGGCTTGTGAGATTTCAGTCTATGATATTCGGTGGTGGAAAAAAAGACAGAGACGGGCTTAAGATGGTAATTATGGGCCCGCCTGGTGCTGGTACGTTAATGTGAGAATAATGCTCAAAAGAATCTTGAGCGATCACTCATTGATTATATTCAATTCTTTACAAGCTGCTAACGTAATTCGACAACGAATAATTTTGATAATTAGGCAAAGGTACACAATCACCAAAAATCAAAGAAAAATATTGCATCTGTCATTTAGCGACCGGAGACATGTTGCGTTCGCAGGTAGCCGCGCAAACACCGTTAGGAGTTGAAGCCAAGAAAATTATGGAATCCGGTGGATTAGTCTCTGATGAAATAATGGTCGGAATGATAGAAGATGAACTAAAGAATAATCCTAAATGTAAAAAAGGGTAGGAGATGCTTATCTAGTATTTATTGTGTTTGATGAATTTATTTCACTAGATTGGATGATTGACGCCAAATTATGTTGAAAAATAAAGATTTATTTTAGATGGATTTCCACGTACAGTTCCACAGGCGGAAAAACTTGATGCGATGTTAGAAAAAGATAACAAGAAACTGGATCATGCTGTCGAATTGGTCATTGACGATAATCTTCTCGTTTCACGCATCACTGGCCGTTTAATTCATCCTGCTAGTGGTCGCACATATCATAAAATTTTCAAGTATGTTCTTTCTTCCGTATGCTATCAAAAAAATGTTTTTCTTAACGTGTAATGGATTCATAATCAATCAATCAATCAATCAATTAATAAATAGCCCACCTAAAGTTCCTAATACTGACGATGTAACGGGAGAACCGCTTATCCAACGTGCAGATGACAATGCGGAAACTTTAAAGAAACGATTAGCCACGTATCATCAACAAACTACACCGGTTGTAAACTATTATAAGCAAAAGGGGATATGGTCCTCGGTTGATGCTGCTCAATCACCAGCGGTTGTTTGGTCGAGTTTATTGGCAATTTTCGATGATGGTTCAAAGAAAAAACAGTGGCAATGAATTATAATTATAATTATAATCCGAGGATAATAAATATTTTTTAGTCTTAAATCTTTATAATGAAGAAAATAGATAATTACATTATTTAATTAATTAATTCAAATTATTGTCAAATAATATTACTGTTTCATGATTAATGATTCTTAAATATCCTCGATATTCTAATTTACAGGATTCTTTCCGTTATTGGAATTTATCTTGTCCAATATTTGCTGACGCCAATCCATGTAATCCTTATTTTGAGCTTTTGTGGATAATGGGTCAATCTGGAATGGAGAAATCAATTAAAAAAAATTATCAAGAAAGAACATACGCAAATGCTAATAATTACCATGTCTCCATTAACAGAATAATTATCTATCGATTCCACGCCATTTTCTTTGTCCTCATTAATTATTTCTACATCATTGTATTTTTGCTTCTTTTTTCCGTGAGCAGGCGTTGGTGATGCGTTTGATATGTAACTTATATTCAGTTTTCGCTTTTCTTTCGATGGAGATGGGGTTGGAGGTGGAGTTGTCGGCGTGGTTTGCAGGGTTCTTGTTGGCGTCATCGTATTTTTCTTTGAAGGACTTTTGATGGGACTGCCTTTTTTTTGAGCAGACAAATCCTCGATGAACGATTTGCAGTGTTCCTCAACGAGTTTGATGAGACGATTAAGCTCTACCGGAGTGAAGGAATATGAATTCAAAGAAGAAAGTAGATCATTTTTGGACACACGAATCTAAGTTCATTACATTTCAAAGTAAAAAAGTTATGAATTAATCATTAAAGAAATGCACTTTGCTTCAAAATTTACTTTATAATTACCCGAAGCGCTCTACAGCATGAATAAAAGATGGCGACTTTATAAATATTTTTATTCCAATCAATATTTTCCCGTTCCCCGGCCGAAAGCGAATTCGCCCAGTTCTCTAGAAAATCTTCGTACATTTTTTCCGCCTGTTTAACAATCGGCTGGCACCCGAATTTTATGCCCAATACCTCGAACGTAAGATTGGTTTCCATGTCGAGCTTTGACTTTAGAGCCTCGACGAGCGAGACGTAATTCTTACGGCTGACTTGCGCGAGCTTTAAGGCATTTTTGGTGTTGAATGTAATGTCTAAACTAATTTTTTTTTATATGGAAAGCGTCACAGTTTTAGAATGAGGTAAAAAATTTATCGTCTTTTATCATGTAAAGGATATAACGAGAAATTATGGGTTGACCCAAACCTTTCACAAGCGAGTTGTATGCAAATTAACGGTTTGCAAGCGGCACCAAGTTTGAAGGTGTTGTGAGGATCCTTGGCATTCACCTGTTGAAGAATTTCATGCGCTTTATCGAGAAGAGAGGAATCTTCATGAGCAAGATTCAAGCTCCTTAATGAGCTTTCAAGTAGGGTTCGTTCTGACATTTGGACAAAGGTTGACAGTTAAAACGAAAATTTGAAATGCGTACTTTTAAAGTCAAGAAGATAATATTTTTTTTACACTATATCAAGCTAAAATGCTAGAAAAGTAATAATGTGATAAATGTTGCTTGAACTTTACACGTATTCAAAAAAACGCGTAGCTGATTTTCCATGCAAAATTCCTTTTTTACGTGGAAATAATTATATTCTATTTATAGTATGTTCCCAAAACGAGTACAGTAAAAGGATACTGTGTAGTTTGTGTGTTGGTTGGTTACAACAAATAGAAAATCTTAAATTATTCGGTCACTTGTTCGCCTATTTATTATCCCTTCGCCCCCCTCCACGGAAGCCCCAAAGCTTACACCAATATTACTCCAAATTTCTGCCTAGTCACCAATAACCGACAGTCACTGACTAACTTATTTTCTCCGTTCCACCTGAAGCTGATAAGAATTTCGTTGTCATCTTAGAATAAGAAATCAAATTTTGAAAATCTTGTTTTAATGGCACCGAAAGAGGGAAAGAGCCGTAAGCCAGCAAGTAAGCATTACATACACAATCATAGTATCATTCTCTTCAAATTTTCTTGTTCTTTTACTTATTACATTCTTTTGACAGATACGGCTTTTAAACAACAACGACTAAAGGCTTGGCAACCTATATTAACACCTAAAACTGTACTTCCGACTTTTTTCATAGTTGGAGTGATATTTGCTCCATTAGGGGGACTGTTGTTATATGAAAGTGATAGTGTGAGGAGAATAAATTTTTTTTGCGATTCTTGGTTTTTGTTCAAATTGTGGATTCTCTTTTATTATTTTTTTTCTTATTATTGTTACATCAATAGTGATCATTCTTTATAAACTTCGCGTATTTATGCATAGGTATCGGAAATTAGCATTGACTACACACAGTGCAGTACTTTAGCCCCCTTTTCCACCAACTTCAGCGATGCGACCCTTTTACCCGACGATGCCGTAGATATTTCTTTTGCGCAAGACAATGCGACGGTCGAAAAAGCAAAATGGATTACTTATCAAGCGAACGTGACATTCCCAGAAGGCGCGACAGTCCCAGTCAACAAATGTGAGATCGAGTTCTCGATTCCTGCACAACTTAAACCGGGTGTGTTTCTTTATTATCGATTGACAAACTTTTATCAGAATCATCGACGTTATGTGAAAAGTTTTGATGCTAATCAATTGAAGGGGAGCGCTGTTAGTATTGGGGCTTTGCAGTCTAGTTGCAAACCTTTGGTGTCAGATAGTAATGGAACTATTATCTATCCTTGTGGATTGATTGCTAATTCTATCTTTAATGGTAAGAATCCCATTTAAATCTTAATCTCAAACATATAATCCATACACACGCTCGTCTAACAACAATAACAATGATAATAGACACATTCTCCGACCTCACACTACTCAACCTCGTCGGCCAAGGTGGTGACAACTCGACGTACAATTTTACCCAGCGAAATATTGCGTGGCCATCAGACAAGCAAAAATACGGAAAAACATCATATGATGTCGACAGCATAGTACCACCGCCAAATTGGGCTATACGATACGTGAATGGAAAGTATACCGCTGACACGGTCCCTGATTTGCATGATGATGAACATTTCCAGGTGTGGATGCGTACCGCGGGGCTACCCGACTTTCGTAAATTGTATGCAAAGAACGAGGTGGATGTCATGCTTCAGGGCAGATATCGTATCGTGATCGATGATGGTGAGTAGTTTTCTCTGTAATTTGATGGCGAAGAAACGGAATTTGAAAGGGTTGATTAAAATTCGAAAACCTTTCATAATCTTTTAGTCTTCCCCGTGACCAAATACGGCGGCACAAAATCGATTGTCATTTCGACTGTTTCCTTCTTGGGCGGAAAGAATCCATTTTTGGGCATCGCATATATCAGCGTCGGAATTGTCTGTGTTGTGCTTGGATGTCTTTTCACCGCTAGGCATTTATACAAACCCAGGTAAAGATTGACAAAATCACATAAACATCCATAACGATTTTGTTAAGATTCCATTTAATGATGATCTTTACTGTTATTATCTCATAGGAAACTCGGAGATCATAAATACCTTTCCTGGAATCAAAATGCATCTGCAGGCGGTGCAACCGGTACTCATCGGGATTAAGTAATTTCTTAAAATAAGCACACAAAAACTTTTCGGCTCTTTCATTTTCATTTATCATTAATAATGTTACAAATAATAGTAATAGCTATTTATTTATCTATAATTACTATTATTATTTATTTTTTACCCCGAAAATAACCACGATTAATTACGATAGGTTTCTTTTATTTTGTATAATAATAATAGATTATTTTGTTATAATAAATGAATTTTATATCATCCAACAAAAATATCTAACAAATAAAAGATACAGTTTTTGGGTTACAAAATACGAGATTTTTATTCATTTCATTTAATTAAATTTTTATATAAAATTTATAAAAATTCTTCATTTTAAAATTAATTTTTTAAAAAAAAATGAAAGATATTATTATAACTTATTTATAATATAATTTATAAAAATTTCTTAATTTTAAAAAATATTATATAACAAAAAATAAAAAATTTTTGTAAATCTATATACTGTATACAAATTTATAATCTTATTAATAAAAATATTTTTTAATTTTTTACATTAAAGTAATATTTTTTCTGAAAGAATTAATTAAAAAATATTTATTATTATGTTTTATTAGATTTGATCTTCTAATATACTTTTCTGAATATATTTTGTAAAATATAATTATTTTAATAACAATTTAAATCTTTATTGATTATAAACATAATCATGTAATTTGATAATTATAACTTGTTCTTGATATAAAATATCATCTCTTTCTAATAATTAGCTAATATTCTAGAAAAGGTAAAAATCTTAAACATAATATCACGTGTATTATATAATCATATCTCAGAAGATACTATATCTGTCAATTTTTTAACAATCAACATTATAAATTAGGCGAGACTAGAGAATACATGTAAACTTGCAATACTAGACTTCGACTGTTCTTATTCTCTCAAGTTTATTACTTTTTTTGTTAAAGATGAAAAATCTATTTTTTAAATAATATCGTATTCTATGTCTAAATAGCGCCAAAAATTTAGCCAGGAATTTTTTAGAATGAATAATTTTTCATCGCATAAGGACTTCGAAATGGGCCAACCTGTTATAGATGTCAGACGGTAAACTAAGCAAATGGAATCAAGTTAGAGACAGGCATATTATATGACATAAACGCAAATATTTAATGCGCATCATATTACATACCTATTCTTTACAAACCCAACAAATTGCATGATATTTCGAGCTTTTCTTTGTAGTTCATGCATTTTCTGGAATACCATATTTGTGGGTTATATTGTTAAATCATCCAAAAGACAGCAAATTAAATCCACTTACACTAAAAGAATCAGTATCAAATAGCGGACCAGGCGAAGGCCGTGTTTTCAGCTGTTGGTGATACTCATACAAACATTCCATAGTGAGTAACATTAACGCAGGATAATTTCGCCGTATTTCCTCGCTTTTTCCTGATAATTCTTGATTTCGTTTTGCCATTTCAGCCATATCAGCTTCGAGTGGGATGATGTTCATCCTTTCAATTAACTACACAATAATGTGTCGAAATCGAAAAGTTAATATCTTTTCACGATTAATGTGACCACATCAATAATAATAAAATGGCGAAAATTCACCTCAAGCGCTCGCACATAATCCTTTTGATTGTAAAAATTTACGAACTCTGTCAAATCCAATAATAATTCACAGTCTCTGATAATCATCGTTGAGCAATGATTCAGAAGCCGCTCTTGTATGTACTGGGCAAATTTTTGTTTTACATATTTTGGATCTAGATCTTCGTCAGTCTCGATTGAGGCTTGTTGATGAGTATGATTCCATAGATATTCACCGAGCATCTTGTTTAATACTGATATGACGAAGTTGTATTCCTAATTTTGAATTATGACATGCATTGAACTTTGGGTTCAATATTAAAAAGAAATCTGTGAAAGTACGCAAATGCACACACCTCAGCCAGTTCAAGCAGTTCTAACGCTTGTTTGTATTTATGGTCAAGTTCAAACTTTTTGCCTAATGGCGCTATTATCTTTGCCTTGAATTCCACATCGTTATGAATATGCAATAATGGTAAATTCTCAGGTATTTCACCTATCTTTATTCGAAATAATGATATTAATTCTTTGTCTAATTTAAAAGATAAAAAATAAACACACTTGCCAAATGCTTTCGAGGATTGCCCAATAACTCTTCAAAATTTCCTGTATCATATACAAGTTGACGTATATACGCGTTACTTAATTCTACTTGATTGCGTGCTGCTTCGGTTTGTTCGCTTCCGTATAAATATAAGAAAGAATAATAGTGGACTGCAAGTCTTGGTCTCAACAAATGGAATCGTTCCACATAATGATAGATAAGTCCATTGAAATTTAGATAGGCACTAATTCCATCACTATTCTCAAGAACTTGAGTTATTATGAATAATTTTATTTAATGTAATTGTAAAGTATGGTTAATTATTTGAGTAGAAAAGGAAAACTTACGCGTCGCCATGGCGTCTTGATTTTCTGGCACTCGAAGAAGACCATAGTAAGCAAGCGCGATGCCAAAGTGCACAGCTTCTACGGAAAAATCGGTTTTATTCAGATAATCGACAGCCTAATGAATCGAGTAATTGATCAATAGGTAAAAATCAAGAGACAAAGGAAAAATTAAAGCATAAAAAATGTTTATTACTCTTTCAAACTGCGCGGATATTAATAATGCCCTGAAATATTGTACTGGCTCTTTACCGTCAGAAGTGTATGTATTCGGACCGAATTGTATAATATGTTTTTGAAAATTGCCAACGGTTAACGATTCATTTCCAGTTCCACCGACCTCCTTTCCATGCTGAACTATCGTCAACTGGAAAAAGAAAGAAAACGAAAATTATATACTGGTGACTAAAGAAAGAAAAACAAAGGTAAAATTTACGTTAAACCAAAGGTAATCCTCTGTTGAAGGAATTGCAGTATTAGGTATGGTGGTCAAAGGTAATTGAGCCAAAATATGATACATAGTCAGCTTGTAATAATCTTGAGGATGTTTAGCAGAAAGTTTGACGCGTTGTTTTACATCTGCTACAAGTTGTTCCCTTTGTTCTCGTGGCAGTCTAATATAGAATGGTTATATGCGTAAATTTTTATGTATTCCAGGAAATTACGAATATAAAAATCTTACCTTCTCTTTCTTTGCAAGTATTCGGCGAAATATGTTATAAATGTCTTGTCATTTCTATGCAAATGACGTTCATAATCACGAGCTACTGCCAAAGCTTCAGTTAGATTACCGCATCGTGTTAAAGTGAATATTACACCCCATAACGGGATTTTTTCTGCAATAACCTATATAAAAATATATATTGGATAAAAAAGACATTATATTGAAGTTTGAATAAGAATAAACCAATCACATTTAATGCATGCTAGTCTAATAGTAATAACATTATCCAATATCATCGATTGTGAAAACCATACCCACAGAGAGTAATACATACTTCCAAGTGGTCCATTGGTTTCCCTCCATTTGGTCGGTGAAAAGCACGCATGAAAGCCTCTGCTTTGTTCCTAGGCAATGGTATTCCGCCCATCTGAGCTTCTTTTCGATGACCAGCAATGTAATCATCAACCCATTTATCATATTGATCCTCTAAATATTGTCGGGCGCCATCTAATAATCTTCGTTGCAATTCATAAAAATTTGTCCCCTGTCGTTTTTGGTATGAATTAAAGAATTGCAATTCTTTTAGTGGGTTTCGTTGGAAATGACCATCAAGCACATTTTCCTCGCCGACAATTTGAGCAAGTGCTCGCCAACATTCAATAATTAATTTGTTCTAAAATAATCAAA